ACAGAGGTCGCGTGGTCCGCCAAACAGTCGTACACATGAAATCTTTGCATATAAATTACATGCTAATAACGCGCTTCTGAGACATGCTACATAGCCTATGCCCGTCCTAGAGTATGCAGAAATAACGTGTCAAAATTTGAGGAAGATCGGTTCAATAGGTCTTGAATTTTGCGCGAACATAAAAATCGGCTCTCCCTTTATATAATATAAGAAAAAAAATACATTTTATGTAGGGAAAACACACCATCGTAAAAGTGCGCGTATGACGCATATTCGTAGAAATTTTTCGATGTTTTTTTTTTGTAAATCATCAGTGAAAGTAGACCTTTCCAACGCATGTACTCGTTTGAAAATCGGTTGAGTGGTTCTCGAGTCATAAAATCACGAACATAGGACAACTTATTTTTATATATATAGATTGTCAGTCTCATAAGTATTATATTTATAACCTCGCTTAAATCGACTTGAAATTTTAAGAGATAGTTCGTAATATCTGTAAATATTGTCAGTCTCATAAGTATTATATTTATAACCTCACTTAAATCGACTTGAAATTTTAAGAGATAGTTCGCAATATATGTAAATATTGTCAGTCTCATAAGTATTATATTTATAACCTCGCTTAAATCGACTTGAAATTTTAAGAGATAGTTCGTAATATATGTAAATACTAGCATACCCCGTCACGGCTCCGCCCGACCTTGTGCAAAAGCAATTTTTGACAAGACGATCGTCCTGACATATATGTCCGCGATAATGCAATTCTCTCGCGGGAAAGCGTTCGAGAAGCTTCGCCACCTGGCGGTAACATCGCAGGTACTGCTACGGGCGAGGTATCGCGCGGGCCGAATACGCGCATGCGCGCGCAATAGACTGTCGTATACAGAGGTCGCGTGGTCCGCCAAACAGTCGTACACATGAAATCTTTGCATATAAATTACATGCTAATAACGCGCTTCTGAGACATGCTACATAGCCTATGCCCGTCCTAGAGTATGCAGAAATAACGTGTCAAAATTTGAGGAAGATCGGTTCAATAGGTCTTGAGTTTTGCGCGAACATAAAAATCGGCTCTCCCTTTATATAATATAAGAAAAAAAATACATTTTATATAGGGAAAACACACCATCGTAAAAGTGCGCGTATGACGCATATTCGTAGAAATTTTTCGATGTTTTTTTTTTGTAAATCATCAGTGAAAGTAGACCTTTCCAACGCATGTACTCGTTTGAAAATCGGTTGAGTGGTTCTCGAGTCATAAAATCACGAACATAGGACAACTTATTTTTATATATATAGATTGTCAGTCTCATAAGTATTATATTTATAACCTCACTTAAATCGACTTGAAATTTTAAGAGATAGTTCGTAATATCTGTAAATATTGTCAGTCTCATAAGTATTATATTTATAACCTCACTTAAATCGACTTAAAATTTTAAGAGATAGTTCGCAATATATGTAAATATTGTCAGTCTCATAAGTGTTATATTTATAACCTCACTATTTATAAAAGAAATTTGTTGAAATCATACGCTGCGTTTAAGATTTTGTATCATATTTTTTATTATAAATGGATATATATATATGAAGATTATTTATACGAAATTTTGATAAAATTGAATAACAAATAATGAAAATATTTGAATTTTAATTCACATGGTACAATTTTATTTTGTTTAAAATTATTGTTTCAATCGATGATCACTGATATAGGTCATGTTCGATTGAATCAGTCTCAGCGATCTTTATTCAATTAAAAACTTTGTCCAAATGACACTAATAATTAGAAACCAGACGAAATAAGTCGCAGATTAGTATTTGGGAAGTACAGAAATGAAATTAATATGTTTTGACAAAATTAATTTTCTTTTGTCGAAATTAGATATTTTTCGATGCAACGGAACAGGAAAAATTTGATGAAAACCGAACAAAGAAATAGAATTAAAAAATTCATATTGGCTGTATTAGTTTAATGTAGATAATTAGTTTAATATTAGCTTATACGACAAAATTCAAATTGTTAGCAAAAAAAAATAGTTCCAAATCAATTTAAATGGAAGATTTATTATTAAAAATTTCATTGAAAACATTTTATCACGTATACACTCTGTTTTTAAAATACATTTAGCAAATTTTTCCCCAACGATGGCAACCCTACGTAATTAGATGTAAAATAAATATCAATTGAAATGCCTTTCACAAATAAATATTGAAATTATCTTGGCGGACCAAATTATTTGACAAAAAATTGATTTTACAAAAGTATATTACTTCACCAAAATGCTCCGTTTCTTTTGGCCTCGGCTAATTAATATATTAACAAGATCGAACATGAATCTTTACGCATTAGGTGTTTCTAGAACTCTCGCAAGAACTTTGTTCATGTAAATCATAAATTTGATGCGTTTAAAACAATTAATCGTTGAATCATTTTTTGAGTTTAATTGACCTTTCGCAAATAAATATTGAAATTATCTTGGCGGACCAAATTATTTGACAAAAAATTGATTTTACAAAAGTATATTACTTCACCAAAATGCTCCGTTTCTTTTGGCCTCGGCTAATTAATAAATTAACAAGATCGAACATGAATCTTTACGCATTAGGTGTTTCTAGAACTCTCGTAAGAACTTTGTTCATGTAAATCATAAATTTGATGCGTTTAAAACAATTAATCGTTGAATCATTTTTTGAGTTAAATTGACCTTTCGCAAATAAATATTGAAATTATCTTGGCGGACCAAATTATTTGACAAAAAATTGATTTTACAAAAGTATATTACTTCACCAAAATGCTCCGTTTCTTTTGGCCTCGGCTAATTAATATATTAACAAGATCGAACATGAATCTTTACGCATTAGGTGTTTCTAGAACTCTCGCAAGAACTTTGTTCATGTAAATCATAAATTTGATGCGTTTAAAACAATTAATCGTTGAATCATTTTTTGAGTTAAATTGACCTTTCGCAAATAAATATTGAAATTATCTTGGCGGACCAAATTATTTGACAAAAAATTGATTTTACAAAAGTATATTACTTCACCAAAATGCTCCGTTTCTTTTGGCCTCGGCTAATTAATAAATTAACAAGATCGAACATGAATCTTTACGCATTAGGTGTTTCTAGAACTCTCGTAAGAACTTTGTTCATGTAAATCATAAATTTGATGCGTTTAAAACAATTAATCGTTGAATCATTTTTTGTGTTAAATTGACCTTTCGCAAATAAATATTGAAATTATCTTGGCGGACCAAATTATTCGACAAAAAAATTGATTTTACAAAAGTATATTACTTCACCAAAATGCTCCGTTTCTTTTGGCCTCGGCTAATTAATATATTAACAAGATCGAACATGAATGTTTACGCATTAGGTGTTTTTAGAACTCTAAATAAGTACCCTGGTAACGCTGAATAATCAGCTAATTAATTATAAAAGTGAAACTTACAGAGTGCGCTAAATTACACAACAAGAGGCGCAGTTAGAAAAACTATTTTATTTTTGTTAAACTGCAAAAATATTGAATATAGATGTAATTTAAATAATTTAATTCGGATTAGGGGTCGTTGATAGATTAATGAAATCTTAAAAGAAATGACATTTTACATTCAATCCTATAAACGTTTTAATTAGGGATTTGTTGGATCCCGTGTTGCGGGATTAAGAACAACACTTTACCTATCACTGGGATGTTTTGTGTAACGATGATTCTAGCGCGGTATCTATGTTGGCTTATGAGTTGGTCATACAACAGATTTATGCGATATTTTTGTGATTAAAAATTCTCGAAACCCAGGCAAACAATAATTTGTATAAATAATGTACGAGACTCTATTAAAGGTATAACACTGATAGCAGTGCGTGGTTTAAAGGTATAACCCGAATGGTGTAACAAAAAGTATAGCACCGACAAAACTTTATTATATGCTGGAACACAAGAAGTACGCAAAGAGACAATACCGTAAAAGGCGCACGCATCATAAGACCCGCAGACTAGCATGCGTTGCCAGCTCACATGTCTCAACAGACTCTTACAATTATATGAATTTATTTCTATTCGATTAATAATAATGGAATCGAGTTTGTATTTAAACTCACTTTAATTGGTACAATTTTACCAATAATATCGAGAAAAAAACTCAAAAGATATGTAATTCAAATTTTATTTTAGTCATTTTTAAATTCATACCTGGCGGCCATTTCTCCACAACTCCTTCCAATGTTGGATTTGTTGCCGATAATTATCTTCGGTTATTCATTTATTTACATTATAACTAACGTTTAATTATCACGTAATTACACCGAATAAATAATTGAATTTTATTAAACAAATTTCAAGAGTTTCGAGAATGTTGAAATCGTGAAGTCGATGAAAGTTTTCGATTCAAGTTTTGCAAAGCTAAAAATCACGGTTCGAGCAATCTCTAGACTTGATTATTTGCTTAAAATGCCGTTGTAAGAACTGTTAATAAATAAATTTAAGATTGTAGAAATTAAGGTGGAAAAGAATACTTTTACACGAGGCTTCTGGGTCCAGGTCCGCCCTTGTCTCTTTGGTAGCCATGGAAACTCTTTAACCCTTTGGGCTCCACTGGCGCCGCAATGGCGACAAACATAATACGTAAGTACCATAGCTCGATTAAAGTTTCATTTAAGATGACATGAACTGAATTTAGAAAATATATAAATAAAATTTAAATTATAAGTATTCGTATAGATGTTTGTGGAAAGAAGAATATTTTTTTAGTTTTAGAAATCACAAAAATTTAATTTGGTATTGCTGGTCGTTCATGTTAATAAATACTCTCGGAGTACAAAGGGTTAAACGAAGAGAGGCGAAGCGAGCGTATGCGTGGCGAGGCGAGGCGAGGCGAGGCGAGAATAGCGAGCGGGCAAGGCATGTAGGTTAAGGCTAGGTTAAGAGTAGGTTATGCGGAGGGAAGGAGAGGGGAGGATGGGGTGAAGATAGAGAATAAGATAGTGTAAGGAGGAATTGTAAGGGAAAGGAGAGGAGATATGTAACCCTAAGGGGAACATTAAATACATACTACTACCACTACTACAAAGGGTTAAACGTTCCAATAATCGTCAATCACTAAGTTTGGCACCAGTGTAAGTAAGTACTTGGATACGCAGGCAACGTCTCAATACTTGGATAATTGCATTCCGGTAAAAACCGTTTCGTGAGAATTCAATTCGAGAGAAACTCGCCGCTACCGCGCGCTGCTGTCTGCTCAAGTAACCCCAAACAGGGTAAGTTCATCAATAATGTATCTCGAAATTTGTTGACGATAGGAATACACTGTAGTAGTGTCTTATCCGTCGGAGTCGGTTTACAAGCAGGAGAAAACGCGGAACGGTATCGCGAGGAAAGAACGATTGCAAGAAACGTCAGGTATACGTGGTTATGAACTCTCTCGAGCTTCCACCGAATAAATAATATGAACGATACCCAGTATAACGTCCGTGACACTTAAAAAAACGCAACAGTATTTTTACAATATAACCTTGAACTCAAATTAATTTATTCTATTTTTCTACAATAATAAGCTCCATTTAATGAAACTATTGATGCATTTGTTTTGTACAATTATTTAGTATAAACATAACCATGTTCTATAGAAGAACGCATGAATTCTTGCGACACTACAATAAAGTGAGTTATACGTCATTCGATTCGTCTAATTCAATACATTATTGATATGCATTTCATTATCTGCGGAAATTCGTTATTTTTTTATTAACTTGTCGTAGAGTTACGGTAAAAAAGTAAGGTTAGGTATATTTTGACAAGTCCACAGGTGGAAACAAGCGACTGTCGTTACTCTGTTCAAAATGCTAGCTAGTCGAATGCTAATTTGTTAAACATTTGTCGAATGAAATTTCTACTATTTCTGCTAATATTTCATCGAATAAATCACCATTTTTCTGTTAGGTACATTTACTAAATACATAACGGCTCAGGCATTCGATGAAGTTACTCTTCTTAAAAATATAAAATATCGATAGTATTATATGTTATAAAAAAGATTAAAAAATGTGTAGCATGCCTCCGAGTGGTTTCAATTTAATTCGTGTAAGCATCGGTAATGGGATCTTCGAAACTGACGCCGTGATTAATTTTCAAGCGACCTCTGTGATATTTTCTACGACAAAATGTTGATTCATCGATCTCGACGATCTACTCTACTCTTCCAATCGCTGAGCAGTATTTTTATTTAATTTTAGTTATATAATAATATGACATTGCTCATAATTATATGTTAGTATATATGTTAATTTTAAAACATCTACAGCTGAGTTTGTTTTTAGAAAACCCACGTTCTTTGCTTTGCAAATATCTTTATATTACGATGTCTTTTACGTTTAGTTTGATCGACAGATCCTGGAATAGTTATCCTGCATTGCCAATTTTCATAACATTTTCACATCACAGATAGTACAAGAAACAGAAGAAAAGCAGAAATTGTTTCAGTAATCATTTGTTTCGACTGTCATTTCTGATTTTCTTCTATTTCTTGTACTTTATGAATTTTGTTCAACTGTGCTATAAAAATGACCGAATCAGTAGTTCCAGATGTGTGGACCTTATTTAAATTGCACGAATTTTGTAAAAATAAAGAAACTTTATTAAAATTTTTGCAAGATAAAAAGTTGATTGCCAAAAATCTTAATTGTGCACTGTTATATCTAATCCAGACCTAACCCAAATCTAATCCAGATCTAATTCAGACCTAACCCAGATCTAATCCAGATCTAATTCAGACCTAACCCAGATCTAATCCAGATCTAATCCAGACCTAACCCAGATCTAATCCAGATCTAATCCAGACCTAACCCAGATCTAATCCAGATCTAATCCAGACCTAACCCAGATTTAATCCAGATCTAATCCAGACCTAACCCAGACCTAACCCAGACCTAATCCAGACCTAACCCAGATCTAATCCAGATCTAATCCAGACCTAACCCAGATCTAATCCAGATCTAATCCAGACCTAACCCAGACCTAACCCAGACCTAACCCAGACCTAACCCAGTTCTAATCCAGATCTAACCCAGATCTAATCCAGATCTAATCCAGACCTAACCCAGACCTAACCCAGATCTAATCCAGACCTAACCCAGATCTAATCCAGATCTAATCCAGACCTAACCCAGATCTAATCCAGACCTAACCCAGACCTAACCCAGATCTAATCCAGACCTAACCCAGATCTAATCCAGATCTAATCCAGACCTAATCCAGATCTAATCCAGACCTAACCCAGACCTAACCCAGACCTAACCCAGATCTAATCCAGATCTAATCCAGATCTAATCCAGACCTAACCCAGATCTAATCCAGATCTAATCCAGATCTAATCCAGACCTAACCCAGATCTAATCCAGATCTAATCCAGACCTAACCCAGACCTAACCCAGATCTAATCCAGATCTAATCCAGACCTAACCCAGACCTAACCCAGATCTAATCCAGACCTAACCCAGATCTAATCCAGATCTAATCCAGACCTAACCCAGATCTAATCCAGATCTATTGATAAATTGCAATTTCTCAATAAGCTAAAGTAGTACTTGTTATTCGAATCTTTATGCAGTGATACTTGTTCTAACAAGTTGTTTATTTTATTTCTGCGCCCTAAATTCGTAATATTATAACATAATATTAAAAATTAATTTTAAACAAATTTCTTTACACATTAGTTAGTCTTTCACAATGCAGTCATTTTGACTGCTTTTGGGCAATATAGGTATATACTAAGTTTCAGTCTTTCTAGCGTTAATTGTCCACAGTGTGGAAACGTAATGAAATTAGACAATGAAAATTGGCGTTGTAGAAAAACAATTGCAGCATCTCTTAGTGCTTGCAAACGAAAGCGAACTTGTGATGCAAAAATATGTGTAAAACGTGGAACGTGGTTTTCAAAAACAAAGCTTTCTTATGAAATGGTATTAAAATTAACTTACATGTTAGTCCATAATTTTGATCAATATCAGATTGTACGAGAATTACAATTGAATAAAAATACTGTTTCTCGATGGAATTATTTTGTAAAACAAGTTATGACTGATTGGCTACAACATTCGTGCGAAGTACTTGGCGGACCAGGCAAAATAGTAGAAATAGACGAATCTAAGTTCGGACGAAGAAAATATCACAGAGGTCATCGTGTAGAGGGACAATTGGTTTTTGGAGGAATAGAAAGAGGAAGTGGAAAAATATTCCTGGTGCCTGTTGAAAGTAGGGACACAGAGCCCCTGCTTTCAATAATTAAACAATGGGTGTTGCCTGGCACATCAATTATTTCAGATTGTTGGAAAGCCTATAACATCTTAGAGAAAGAGGGGTACAAACATCTTACCGTAAATCACAGCTTACATTTCAAAGACCCAGAAACAGGCGCTCATACAAATACGATAGAAACTACGTGGAGGCATAGTAAACACTTTTTTCCTGAATATTGTCGGTTAGTATTTGTAATTTTGCACGTTTTTAAATATTTTCTGTAACATACAATACCATAAAATTTTCTATTTTTAGCAAAAAGGATAATTTCATTGGGTATTTAAGCCACTACGTATTTTACAAATTTTCCAAGCAAGGAAAGGATGTATTTAACCAGCTATTAAAAGAAATTGCAGAAATTTCATTTGATTCTACGGAAAACCAAAATATACCAGACCTAGATGATAATGAAATTTAACATTCGGCCATCTTTGTGAAAAATTGTAATGGGAGATTCTAGAGGCTAAAATAAGACGAAAATCAAGAATATCAATTTGTTGATCGAGGCTTCGTTAAAAAGTTATTAGTTATTTTTTCTCGAAAATGCGCAGAATTTCGAGGTTATATCTATTCACCAAAAATGATTATAAGTGACCCCAACAACCGAAAAGAATTTTTTCAGAACGATTTGAAATTTTTTACTTTTGTCAAATAATTTCACATCTTCTCGAATTTTTTTCTCGAAAATGCGTAGGATTTCGGGGGTATGTGTAATAACCTAAAATGATTGTAATTGGCCCCCGCAACCGAAAATAATTTTTCCAGAACGATTTGAAATTTTTTAATTTTGTCGACAAACACAAATAATTCCTAATAATTTTAAACTTTTTAATAACATCAATGGCATTGAAAATACTGTAAAATAATAAATACACCATGAAAATATCGACGGTGTTGTACCTATAATTCTTTCTGTACATTTTGCATTTTTGTTTTTTCTGATTAGAGTCGTTAAATAAAAAAACAAAATGTATATATAAAAAAGGAAGAACAGCGACGATAAGTGTACATATGTACTTCGAGAAGATAACAAAGGTGAAAACCATCAGTCGAGTAAATACGACGATTATGAAAGAAAGAAAGTCATCCAGCGCAATTTAAACGCAACGTTTTTACAACTTTTTGTTGTTGATAATTCGCTGGCGGAGAATGGTCCGTTAACTTGGCGAACATTTCTTTGATTTCTCACGAGAAGTTTCACCGTGTTCGACGGCACAAGTAGTCAGTTTCTGAGGACCGTGAATACGCTTATTAACCGTGAAAGAGGCTTAGAAAGCGCTTGTAAAAAGAGAATGACCTACGAACTACGACCTGCAGTTGCACAATGGGGATATGCGTCGCCGAGACCACGGGACTAATCTCAATCCGTGAAATATTCTCCGTGCTCGGCTGAAATCGCGCTTCCACTTCTCTCTTGGTCTGCACATGGGGAGGGAACGATAGTTCACTCGTGGATCGAGACAAAGTGGTAAAACCACTTCGAGGAGTCGGGGAACGGAGGAAAAGCTGTATGATTTACGCGCGAAGGCGCAACAGCGCGGTCGAATTTTTTACCTCGTGAAGACATCGACACCTTTCCCAGAACTTTGAAAAAGGGTATAGCCGAATAAGGGGGTGAAATGTGACATACGATGGATCCATCGATAGAGCATCAAGAAAAAACGTTCTGTGCCAAATTTTAACCCTCTATCTTGTTTGGAAGGCTAGTTATTGAGAAAATTCGGATTAACGAGTTTGTGCCTATTTCCCCTATTTAAACGAGTAGAAAAATTATGAAAAAAATCTGGCGCATTGTGGTTATTGAGATACGTGTTTGAGAATTTTTTCCGATTTTTCGATTCCAAATCCTAGGCGTGAAAAATTAAAAACGCAGAAAAATACCGATTTCGTATTGAACCTTTCGAGACACTAGATTTCTATAATTACTGTAAATGCGTATTGTCATTGGCTATCTCCCTGAATT